ATTTGTTTATTCGTCTGCATCATCTTGACAAACCAGGACGAGGTAGCTTCGTCAATTTCTACAATTAGGGACATTGTGGAGAATTTGAAAGGGCTATATGGAATACCCACCACAGACGAAAAAGACGATGAAGTGAACGCAAGAAAAACTCTCGAAGAACAATACCATACTCAGATCAGTAAGGTACAAAACTATTTTCATTGTCAATCATTGAAGAATTATCAGTAAAAAAAATAAAAAAATATATGTCCAAATTATGACTTGCAGTTGACGACAACATTCGGCATAATCGATAGCATCAAGATTCATTTTTCCACACAAGAAGATGAGGATTCAAGGTAAACTAGTATCTCATGTACTTATAATATTGTCGCTTTTTTAATCAAATTGTTTTTAACAAAAATGGAAATAGTACTCGTTTTCCTAGCGGAACGAAACCCAATGCGAAAGTGAACGAACTATTAGACGTGCTCGAAAGTATCAAATTGGAATACGAATCGATCAAAAGGCCACGTTTGCAACACGAGCCGCCACCTGTACCAGACGAGGCTCCTCCACAGCCAAAGCTGAGGGCCCCACGAATTCCATTTTTGTCCCCAAGGCCATCTCCAGATGAAAAACCCGAGCCTAATACCCAATCAGGCTCGGATTATAGGCCAAAGATTGCTCTGCCATTGGTCAGAAGCCGTTCGGCTAACATGGACGCCAATTATAGGCCTTCGGATGCAGAGACGCAATTTTCCAAGTTGAAATTTGAGTTGGAACTCGATGAAGGACATAGCAGGAGGAGCTCCATGGATATTCTCGATTGGGAGTTTGACGAGCATGTTGAAAAAGAACCGGAAAAGAGCGTGCAATGATCGAAATAATGTTTGCTCGGTTTTGAAGCCAATTAGTCGATTCAAATTGAGTTTTGGTATATTACTCCCACACATTGTTATACATGCATAATTTATTAAAGATTGTATTGTTGTCAAAGTTTACCATGTAAGGATTAAAAAAAAAAAAATGAAATAAAGATAAATGGAGAAGAAAAGGATGGATTTTCGATCACGTGTTGAATTTCGAACACGAGAACTTCATAGAAGAATTATTGGATCACGGATGGTTCATAGTAGGCCACAATAGATCTTATCATTCAATTGTTTTTGGAGTATTGTTAGCTTAGTAGCAAGAAACTTTGACATGTGTGAAAAAACTCAGTACTGTTATACTTATTTTGAGTACTGTGTTGTAATTTGTAGTCTTCTTTTATCTTAGTTGCATGGAGTATGAAACTATTGTATTCATATTTTGACAGATAAATATTGTTGCACAAAAAAATTCACCTCCAACATATTTAATCTCATATTCATCTTTAATATAGAAAGCCACAGATTGAATATAAGCATAAAGCTTCCATCTCCTTAAGAAGCGTAACTATTGTCTAAAGGGCCTTTTGGAGCTACCCTTTGCTAATAGAAAGACAATCCATGAGGGCTCCACCATTATTAGTAATAAAAAGATAAATTGAAATTAATTTCCAAAATACACTTTTTTTAGTAAGTGCAGACTCCAAGAATTGAAAAAAAGTAGAGAGAAGAGAGGGAGAAATTAAAATTTAATTTTCATTCATCACATACCAATAGCCAAAAGGGGTTACATGTAATGAACCACCAACTACTAAATAGTAAATACAATAATGTATTTTCTTTGTACACCACCTTATGTTAATATTCTTCTTTCACATTAGTTATTGAACATATTAATCCATGTCCACAATGTATACTAGAGTTGAATTGATATTTTAACGACTATTATAATATACTACTTATATGTATGTTTTATCATTTTCAATGGCAAATTAATTGTTGTTTAAGTTTGCAAAAGTATGTCTCCTTGAAATTGTTGATGATAGAATCACTTAAACATGTAATAATAATAATAATAATAATAATAATAATAATAGTAATAATAATAATAATAATAATAAGTGAAAAGGAAACTGATATTAGTTGAATAGCTCAGGGCCAAAGGAGGTCTATTCAACATCATTGAATTTTGATAGTAAACTCTCATTATTCCTCGGAATAATCCAAGTGTAAGTTAAGTCACAGCCTCACAGGCATTATATTGAACCAATTAGAAGCCAATGCCATTGGGCCACATCACAAAAAAGGGCCTTTTTCGTTTCTTTTTCTCCTTTCCACTTTCTAACACTGTCAGGTGACATGTGATTAATCTGAAGGAAATGGCTCTATACTATATGAGAAAAAGAATTGAAATCACAAGCTGTCAATTTCTAAAAATGATATACATATCCAATTCAAATAAATATGTACCTTCTTGGTGTGTGTCAAAGAGAGAAAAAACAAAATAAAATAAAATTTAAACCTTGAAAATTAAAAAAAATCACAAGTAGTGTCGAGATTATATCATTATTTGTATATAGTACTGATTGATACATGATTCGATTCGTGTACCTCCCAGTTATTTACGAATTTAGACTCATCTTTTCGACAAATTCCCTTAACTAATTAAAAATAATGAGATGAGATCATTGGAAAATTTCAACCTACAGGGAGTTGAGCCTGAGTTTATATACCATTACCAATAGGGTATTAATTGAAACTTCAGGATCAATTGATGGTACAAAAATGATTTAATGATATATATATATATATATATATATATATTTTTTTAATATTATAGGATCAACACACACTTATATAGATATGTGTGTGTTTTGATCCTGTTTTGATCTGACGATAAATAAAACCTGCAGTCAACTTTTCATTTTACTATGTTTGGACAACAAGAAAATGCTGAACCCAAGGGTGGTTGCATTCAAAATCATTCAATTAATTACATTTCTCAAAAAAAGGTGGAATCAAGAATTCAAGATGCCTATGTTTTGACCAAGTCAACCACTATATTTATAGCTAGCCATCTATATTTTTATTAAAATGGATAAAATTTTATCAAGCAATAAGCAGTAATAAGCAGAAAATGGGATGGCTTTCCAATTTTTATAAGTTTTCTTTTTGCAGAGAGAGAGTTGTGGATTTTGCATGGAATACAGTCAACAAGTACTGTTTTTAAAATTGCTGTATTGTTGTTGATAATATAATATTGTTAGATGTATTCTAACTCGTGCGCAAAAAAATTCATACCCCATAATGAAATGTTTTCCGTTTGGATACAAATTATCTTCAATTTCTGTCTCCTCGGATAATTTTATTTATTTATTATTATCTTTTTGAACAAAACTGTGCATGGGAATAAATTTTGTCTAAAATATTCGATTCCCATTCATTCACTTTTCTTCTCAATATTATTCTTCTCAATATTATCAGTGTAATTAAAATTTGTAAACCAATCATACACATTTTTCCAATAAATAAGAAATTTATATAATTACATATTTTACTTGACAATTACTTATATTATTATTGTAGTATCAATTCAAATCATTATAATTTAGTTTATCTGTTATCACAAACTTAAATTAATTTATTTTCCAACCATATTTTTTGGTTCATTTTTCATTTCGAAACAATTTTTTTCAGACCAACTGGTCCTTGGTGGTGCTCTACAAATGGGAAAATAAATATTCTTTTTGCTCTTTAAATTAGACCATCATGCATGTCTACCCATCTCCAGCTGAACATTTTTAGTATTTTATTTTTCTTCTCTATATCAGGATCTTGGTTGAGGTTGACCAAATGATTTTAGATACAAATTGATATATTGAAAGTAATAAATATAACTGCAAAACTAAAACTTAAAAATTATTTAAATGTTATTATTCGAAATGTGTGCCTGCATTTATCCATAATTGTATAAAAATGTTATGCATCTCTCTAAAATGTATAGAAAAGAAGATAAATGTATGATGACATAAATTTGAGTAGTTTGGCTTCAAATATATTTTATTTTATAGAGACAAAGACAAGGAAAATATAATTTATAATTATTTTATATAATATTTATATCGTATATATACTACATGGCACGACGTGTTTATAATCTTTTATATATATAGATTTATCTTTAATAATTATCCATCAATATATATATCCATTCTAAATAATAAGTTGTGCCCAATTGGCCAATTATATCTCAACATGATGATACAATAGGTTGAATATGGGGTGAATTTTTTCCTTTGTGTAGTTTGCAACTCATTTCTCTTCATATAGGTAAGGATTACATAA